CAGAATGAAGGAGAGGGGAGAGGGCCACCGGGTGTCGGTGCCTATCCACGCGCGTTGGTGCGAGGGTGCCGACGCGGGTTGATGCTTTTTATGCATCTAATCAACATCACGCAGCGCTGAGGTTGGTCGGTTCTTCTGTCGCCTGTGGCGCGCGTCCGCACTCATTCCTAGGACACCTGTTCTAAGGGTTCTGGACGGACAGCATGATTTTTAGGGGCTGCCAACATGTGCACTGAGATTGCTACTAAGTTTCCACTTTTTCGCCCGCAGCGAGCCGGCACATTTACACACACACACACACACACACACACACACACACACACACACGCTTGCACTCTCCCCCACCCCGCTAACCGGCGCGCCGCTGAGTGAAGAATCGAGGGTCACTCCACTCACCCGCCAGGGCAACTTGAAAAACCTCAAAGAGCACGACTTGCCCGCGAAGGAAATCAAAGAACAAAATGAATGATAATGGAGCAGATCTGAACTTCTGTTGGGGCAAAGAAACACATTTATTTAAAGGATGCGTCCCCTGTGTGCTGTTTTCGGGGGCACTGCTGCTGGAGCGGCTTAAGTGCCTTATGAAACTGGTGTTATGTGAAGCCCGGGCTACGCTCAAGAATTTATTTCTTCTGCATCCTGAACTTCCTCCCGTCCTGCACTGGTATGTGCGAATGCGGCCCGCGGACCTCGACCGATTTGTCAAACGCGCTGAATGCCCGTGTCCCCGGTTTAGATGTTGGTGAGTCGGGTGAACCAAAAGAGACAAAACGGGCCGCTACCAGAAATGAAAACGGGCGGTCATACAAAGCATTGACCACGCCTGCGGCTTCCGAAGGTGCCAGACGGCTCAGAGGAGCGTAAATATATACACACTGAAGGGAGCGGTTTCTTTTTTAAAATCTAAGTTAAAGTATACCCCACGTCAAGAACTACTTCTGATTTCTGATGTTAAATATCAGGATTCGCATTGAGTTATGCGAATGTCAAAATAACGCCCAA